ACCATAGGCTCTTGCTCAAATGTTATTTCATTAAATTCTTCTGTATCTGCCAATTCCCTTCTATAAAATGACTCAGTATATTCCTTCCATCTTCTTTTGATACCTCCTGGATCATTTAACAGTAAGCAACTCAAATTGAGTCTTAAGTCTTCACTGGGATGTGAAGTTTTCCAAGTCTAGTGTTCTTTCCACGACCCCCGTCTCCAGCACGATCCCTCTCTGTTCTTCTAGGGTTGGTCACCCCTCTGGAGGTGAACGTGCCCAGTTCCGTTCCCCACATGCCATCCGCGTCCCCAAAGGGGCATGGACCTGTCTACACAAAGTGCAGCAGTTTTCAGCTGCACTCCGCAGGAGGTCCATGCGTCTGTCTCCCGGGAAAGAGGGTGTCCTAGCCTTCGCGCATGGGAAAATAGGGCCTGCGGAAAGTGGTTACCCTCGCGCCCGCGCCGGGTTAATGTGACCGCTCCCGCGTCCGCGCCTGGGGCATGTGGCGGCTCCTGCGCCCGCGGCAGGTGAATGCGGTGGCTCCCGGGCGATGGTGAGGACCAGCCTGGGAGGAGGCGGTGGGCGGAACTCGCACAGACCCTGCGTGAGTATGCAGCCCCGAGCGAGAGGAGACCGCCCTCAGCACCCGCGGGATCTCCGGGCTGAAATGACGTGTTGTTCGCGCCCGGCTGTGGCCCCCGATGCCCGGGGCATTGTTTTCTCTTCGCCTCCTTCCCGGCTGGGAGGGCAGGCACGCCGCCGGGCTTCTGGCCTCCCGCCAGGAGCCTGGCCTTTGGCCCCGGGGCCTCGAGGTCAGCCGCGCCTCCGGGGCTGGTGGAGGGAACACCTGGGTCCGCCAGGCCGCCTTGCTCTCTCCAGTTAGCAGCTTCCAGTTAGCAGCTTCCAGTTTGCAGCTCGGTCATGGGCTCCTGCGGCTCTCACGCTACGGCCATCCCGGACGCGGACCTCATCCGCCAGGAGACTGGCTGTGAGTGGGGCGCCCCGCGCGGGCGTCGGGTCTCTGCAGCTGGGGAGGGCGCGGAGGGCGGAGAGGGGGAACGCAGGAGGCTCAGGGTGGGGTGAACTTTAGTGTGGAGGACCAAGGACCGCAGGAGAGAGTTGGGTGAGCCTAGAACACCCTAGAAGCCCAGGACTGGGGTCCCTGGAGATGGAAGACCAAGATCCAGGTGTCTAGTATTGCTGGATTAATGGGGTCCACGTTCAAGGAGGGCCAGTGTCCATGGAGGTGGGAACCCAGTGATCATGGCGGGGGGGGGGTGGGTGGCGGCGCTGAGATGAGACCAGCAGCCCCAAGCCTCGAACTCTGGCCCTTCAATGAGATAGATCACACCAGCTGTAGCAGCTCTAGGCCTCGGATACTCCTGGCCTACCTCCAGGGAGGTGAGGGGTTTCCCCAGAATGGACTATGCAGCAGCACTACCCACGGCTCTGGGGCCTTGCTGCACCCCGAAAACCCCCTTGCCACTTGACTTGACTCTCCCACATTCTCTGTCCCAGTCTCGAAAGCCAGTCTGGTCCGCCTCTACAATCGGTTCCGCGCGCTGGACAAGAATAAGAAAGGCTACCTGTGGTGAGGGGAGGCTGCCCTCTGACCCACGTGTCTTCCCCTCCTCAACCCTTCCCCCCCCCCCCCCCCCCCCCCATCTGGTTTTGCCTAACTCTCAGACCTTTGATTTTACAGCCGCATGGATCTCCAGGAGATTGGGGCTCTGGCGGTGAATCCTCTGGGAGACCGGATCATTGAGAGCTTCTTCCCTGATGGGTGAGGCCTCGCTGTGGGTGGGGCGATGCGGACGTGGTTAGGGATGGGGGTAGAGAGAGGGCCCGAAGTGAACAGTGCCTCTGCATCATCCTGCACCCCAGGAATCGCAGTGTGGATTTCCGAGGCTTTGCCAGAGTTCTGGCTCACTTCCGCCCTGTCGAAAAAGACGACTCAGGAGACCAAGACCCCAAGAAACCTGAACGTCTCAATAGCAGAATGAACAAACTTCGCTGTGAGTTATCATCCCCAGCCTGAAGCTTCCTTCTCCAGTGGCTGCACGTTCATGCCAGCTGCAAATCCAAGAGAATAGAAGAGAAACCCCCATAGGGTTCCCAAGGCCCAATCTTTAGGGGAACAGACTGATACTTCTAGGCAGCTCTGGTGGCAAGAAGCTGTGCTGCAATCCCGAAGGCCACCCGCTGCTCCAAGGGAGAAGAATGGGCAGTCTTCTCCCGGGCAATTAACTGCCTCTGAAAACTCGCCTGAGGGTCCGCTATAGGTCTGTTCTGATTCCACGATACACCAAAACCACCAACTGCCACTTCTGTCACCTACGGAGCTTTTAAACACTGCACCGCCAGGGCTTCCAAGGATGTGAATTCAGCTGGGTGGGGACAGAGATGCCAAATTTAATTTATCCATGTCAGTGAGAGGCACAAGAACCCCCCCCCAACCCCCAACTATTTCAGGGTGATCTTCTGCTGGAAGAGAAACAGGAACGACCCACCTTCGTTTTTCCCCTTCCACTCTCTTCCCAGTTGCCTTTCAGCTCTATGACCTGGATCAAGATGGAATGATCTCCAAATATGAGATGCAACAGGTAGGTAGAATGGCAGGGCAGGAGATGTGTGAAGCGTGCAGTGATGTGAGCGATGTCCTGTGGTGATTGGTATATAGATGCTGGGTGGTGGTTCAGGTCCTGTGCAGTCAGAACCGACCCATTGCTGACCCTCCAGCTGGTTTTCAGAGGCAGTAAATAACACAGGCAATTATCCACCTTCTGCAGATCCGCTAGTGGATTTGAACCCCGTGCCTTTGGGTTGGCAGCAAATGGAGTGGTTAAGGGAGATGAGTAAGTGGGTTGGAGCGTGAGCTTGTTAGGAGATAAAAGGGGACAGTTGGATAAAGGTGAAGACTAGATCAGTTGTTCTCAACTAGGGGGATAATTTGCAACATCTGGGAAGATTTTTAATTGTTACAACCTGGGATTGAGGTGAGGCAGGATATACCAGCTGGCATCTCGTGGGTAGAGATCTGGAACGCTGTTACACCTATAATACACAGGACAGCTTCCCACAGCAAAACCTTAACTGACTCCATTTTGGGACGAAATGGGGCATGGAATTTGGAACAGTTGGAAGGGGAGGCGGGAGATAGAGTGGAAAGAAGGCATAAGGTTGGGGTTGGTTCATTAATTTGAGCATATCATTGAAGTGAGTGTAGCACAGTAAGCAATGGGTAGAGATGCAGAGAGCCACTGGGGGAAATTATTGAAGGATCTAGTGGGAAAAGGGAACTCCGGTGGCCTAGCGGTAAGCTGTGCTGCAATCTCAAGGGTGCGAGGTTCGAATCCACCAGCTTCTCTGCAGAAGGGATGGACACTTTTCCTTCTGTGCAGTTTTCTGCCTCAGAAGCCCCACTGGAGGGTCAGCTATGAGTTGATTCCGCTACACAACAGCGTGGTGGGAAAGATTGGGATGGTGTGGAAAATAGATGGATTATGAAATTTAGGGAGTGAGGTAGACATGGATTTTTGGGGCATGGGGAGGTGGAGAGGAGTAATGTTTGTGCTTCCTCTTTTTTTTGGTGGTGGTGGGGTGTGTGTGTGTGTGTGTCTCCCCTCTTTATGGCTGCTTCTCTTCTTGTTTCCCAGGTTCTCCGAATGATGGTTGGGGTACAGGTGACAGAAGAACAGCTGGAGAGCATCACTGACCGCACAGTACAGGAGGCGGATGAAGACGGAGATGGCGCTGTGTCTTTTATGGAGTTTGTCAAGGTTAGACTACACCCTTGTTGTTGTTGCTGTGTACCATCCCAGGCAATCAGAAGTGACTCAGACCTGAGCTTCCAGACCCTGGAAATCACACAGGAGGACTTTGCCCATCTTTGTCCTGGTGGACCAGCTGGTGGATTCAAACCTCAGGCCTCTGAGTTGGCAGTGCAGCTCCTTACCACTTAGACCACCAGAGTTCCAAGAATCCCCTTAAGGTCTGGAAAATTGAAATTAGGAACCCACACAACAGATCTCCTATTTTTGCAGTGACTCTCTGCTGGATTGCTGAAATGATAAATCATGACAGGACAAGACTTGTCCATTTTTCTCCCAGAGATTGCCTGGTGGATTAGAACTGACAACCTTTTGGTTAGCAGCTTGAGGAGCTGCACACTATGTCACAGATAGACAGTCAAAATGAAGTTCAAAGTAAGAAAGATAGGAATTCCTAGGGAGTGATGTTGGTGTATGTTGTAGGTGTTGGGGATGGATTAGAATCCTCGGGGAGGAGGTTGGAAGAGCTTCAATCTCTCATCCCTTAACTACCCTCCCTCTCTCCTCAGTGCTTAGAGAAGATGGACGTGGAGCAGAAGATGAGCATCCGCATGCTGAAGTGACTGCTTTGTGTCCTTGGTGAGCTCCCGCAGATCAGCATCTACTTGAACTCCACGCTCAGTCCCTGTGGAAGCAGGACCTCAATAAACGAAACTGTCCTAACTTTTAGACTGACCTTCATGTAAGACCAATGATAGAAAGTCAGAAAGATGGTTGGGAAAAAGTAACCCATTTGATTTCAGCCTTAGGACTCAGCCAGCAATCTCTTGGTTACAAGTAACTGAAAACCCACCACAAAGTGGCATTAAAAAAAAAAAGCAAGATAATGGTCTCAGGTAATTAGAAAGTCTGGAAGTTGGTCTTCGGGCACAGTTGCATGTAGGGGTCCAGAGGATGTCATCAGAACTTGGTGACTTTTCATTTCTCTGCTTGGATTTCTTCTGTCCTGGCTTCCTTCTCAGCAGGGCTCCTACTCTATGGGAAAAAAACAAAACCCAAAACAACCCATCAGCAGCTCTCAGTTTTCACCCTCTAGCTCACTGGGAAGAGATTTCCTTTTCCAATAATTCCTGGCAAACATTTAACTCTGATTGTTATTGCCTTGACTAGAGTCCTGCCTCTTGGACTCTAATTGCTCTCATTGGCTAGGCCCATGGTTAATGCTTACCCCTTAGGGTAGGAAAGTTCAAGACCTCAGGATGAGGAAGGAGCGTGTAATTAAAATCAGATGAGGTGCTCTCAGCAGAAAAAGCGAGAATGAGGCTGATTGGTAAAACCAGAGTTAGCCACTAATATTACGAAGTCTAGACCTATCTGTATAGTTGGTTTTTATTGACCTTATGAATATGCCAGGGAGCTCTGGTGGCTTGGTGGTAAGAGGCTACACTGCAATTCCAAAGGCACTCAGTTCAAATCCACCAGCTGCTCTGAGGGAGAAGGATGGACAGTCTCCACCTTTGCTATTAACTGCCTTTAAAAACCCACTGGAGGGTTAGCTGTGAATCAGTTCTGACTCAGTGGGACAAAACAACAACAATGAGAACTTGCCAGTGTGTGGAGACTGGGTGTGGAGAGAGTTGGAATAAAAATAAGATGGATCTTCCTGTGGTGTGAAATTCTTCTACGCTTTGGGGATTACCTGCTCCTTTTATGGAACCCTCCAGTTCTGTCCATTGACTGATTGAAGGAAACCTCTGCTTCATGGGTTGGTTTTTTGTTTGTTTGTTTTTTAATGGGGTTTTTTAGGGGCTGAATTTTTTGGAAGTAGATGACCAGACTTCCTGTGAGGTGTGTCTCCAACCTTTGAGTTAGCAGCCAAGCACTTGACCATTTGCCCTATTGTTTTAGAATTTTGTTGTTAGGTGCCTTCAAGTTCAGCAGGACTTATAGAGACCCTGTGAACAAAAGATCTGAACCCTGTTTTATCCTGTGCTATCCTCACACTTCTGACACCCAAGAGCCCATTGCAGCATTCACTGTGTCAATGCACCTGATTGAGAGTCTTCCTCTCCTTCACCGACCCTCCTCCCTTCCCAGCATCATGTCCCTCTTCAAAGAATGGCCCCTCCTAGCAACATGCCCAAAGTATATGAGGCAAAGCCTCATCATTCTTGCCTCATCATTGAGAACTCTGGCAGCACCCTTTCCAGGACATGTTGGTCCTCTTGACCGTACATAGGATGTGCAGAGCTCTTCTCAAGCACCACAGCTCAAAGGCATCAATTCTTTTCTGTCATCCTTATTTATTGTCCAGTTCTCAAATGCATAGCTAGTAATTGGAAAGACTATGGCCTGAATCAGACACACCTTAGTCTTCAAACTGACACCACTACTCCTCAATAATTTGGAAAGGTCCCTAACTGCAGATGTTCCCGGTGCAATGTATCAACTTATTTCCTGACTGCTCCTACCATGGGGTTAACTGGGGATCCAAGCAAGATGAAGCTGTTGATAGTTTCAATCTCCTCTCCAACCATCATGAACCTGTCTATTGGTCCAGTAGTAAGAATCTTGGTTTGCCTGACATTGAGATGCAGTCCATACATAAGGCAGCATTCCTTGATCTTCTGCCATGTGCTTCAAGTCCTCACTTTCAGCATGCAAGGTTGTGTCATCTGCATAACGCAGGCTATTGATGAGTCTTCCTCCAATCCTGATGCCACAAGGTTAATGCCAATCATCCTCCTCATAGAGTCCAGCTTCTTGGATAATTGGCTCAGCATGTAGACTGAGTAGGTATGGAGAGAGAATACAATCTGGGCATGCTCCCTTGCTACTCCAAAGCTTCCTAGCTCTGTTCCCTGCTCTGTTCACACAACAGCCTCCTGGTCCAAGTATAGGTTCCGCATGAGCACAGTCAAGTGGTCTGGGATTCCCATTCTTCTCAATGTCAGCCATAACTTGTCATGATCCATACAGTCAAATGCCTTTGCATAGTCAATAAAGCACAGACAGACATTCTTCTGGTATTCCTTACTTTTAGCCAGGATCCATCTGACATCAGCAGTGGTACTTCTGGTGCCACTGCCTCTTCTAAATCCTGCTTGAACTGGCAGTTTCCTATCTATGTACTATTCTAGCCATTTTTTTAAATGATTTTCAGCAGTGTTTTGCAAAGATGGAGGGTCAGTGAAGGAAAGGAAGACCCCCAACGAGATGGATTTGTCATGGTGACTTTAGTAATGGGCTTGAATGTGTCGGAGATGAGGATGGCACAAGATAGGACAGGGTTCAGATTGGTTGTTCGTAGGATCACTGTGAGTCAAACCAGATGTGACAGAACCTAACAACATAGTGAAGATGATGGCGCTCTGGTGGTGCAATGCTTAAGGGCTTGGTGCTGACCAAAAGGCTGGTAGTTTAAATCTACTAGCTGGTATGGGGCGGGGGGTGGGGAAGATGTGGCAATGTGCTGATGGCATATCCTGAATCACACAGGAAATAGAATCTGCATGGCTAGTCTTTCTTTTTTCTATTACAATGTCTCTCAAATTTTCTTGATGATAACTATCTTCTCATAAAAACATTCAGACCCTTTGACTTCATTTGCAACACCTTGAGAAGACAAAGCAAAGTATTATTATGAAATGTGCAAAGAGTTGGAGTCAGAAAATAAAAAGAATTCACTTAGGATTTCTTCAGCTGAAAGAACTGAAGAACAAATTCAAGTGTTGAGTTACAATATTAAAGGATGCTATGGACAAAATCTTGAATGATTCAGAAAGGATCAAAAGAAAATAGGAAAAATAATAATGATACTAATAAAAGAAAATGGAAGGAATACAGAGTCACTGTAGCAAAAAGAATTGACTGACAAGAAATCATTCCAGGAAGTAGGATATGATCAAGAACCAATGGAGATTAAGGGAAAGGTTCTAGCTGTATTCAAGGAATTGGGGGAAAAATAAGGCCCCAAGAATTGATGATATACCAAGTAACAAGTTCCAACTAACATAAGACACCCTGGATATGCTCACTAGAATGGACCAAAAAATCTGGAAGATGGTTACCTGGTCAATTGACTGAAAGAGATCCATATGTGTTCCCATTCTCAAAAAAAGTGATCTTGGGGAGCTCTGGTGGCCTAGTGGCAAGAAGCTGCACTGCAATCCCAGAGGTACACGGTTCGAATCCACCAGATGCTCTGCCGGAGAAGGAGGAGCCATATCCTCCTGTACCAGTCAGATCTGATTTGACGGTACACGCACACAAAATTAAAAAAAAAAAAAAATAAAAAAAAGTGATCTGACAGAATGTGGAAATTATCAAACAATATAATTAATAGTATATGGAATTAAAATATTGAAGATCATGCCAAAGTGGCTAGAACAGAATATTGACAGAGAACTGTCAGATGTAAGCGAGTGTGTCAGGGTTGTAATCTAACTCCATACCTATTTAACCTGTATGCCGAGCAATTTATTCAAGAAGCTGGACTCTTTAAAGAGGAATGTGGCATGAGGATTGAAGGGAGACTCATCAATAACCTTTGTTATGCAGATGACACAACATGGCTTGCTGAAAGGAGAACTTGAAGCACTTGTTGCAGAAGATCAAAGAATACAGACTTCAATATGGATTGCATATCAATGTCAAGAAGACAAAGATTCTTACTGCTGGACCAATAGGCAGTATCATGATGGATGGAGAAAAGATTGAAACTGTTACACGTTTTGGGAGCTCTGGTGGCCTAGTGGCAAGAAGCTGCACTGCAATCCCAGAGGAACACGGTTCGAATCCACCAGATGCTCTGCCGGAGAAGGAGGCGCAATATCCTCCTGTACCAGTCAGATTTGATTTGACGGTACACGCACACAAAATTTAAAAAAACAAAAACTGTTACGCGTTTAATCTTGGATCCACAATCAACACCCTTGGTAATAGCAGTCAGGAAACCAAGAGACGTATTGCACTGGGAAAGCCTGCAGTTAGGGACCTCTCCAAATTATTGAGGAGTAATGATGTCAGTCAGTTTGAGGACTAAATTGTGTTTGATTCAGGCCACGGTCTTCTGATCACTTGCTGTGTATCTGAGAGCTGGACAATGAATAGAGATGACAGAAGAATGAATACTTTTGATGTTTGGTGTTGGAGAAGAGCACTGAACATCCCATGGACAGCCAAAAAGAAAAACAAAACAAAAAACAACACACCAACATGTCTTGGCAAGGGTGCAGCCAGAGTGTTCATTGGAGGCGAAGAAGATGAGGCTTCACCTCACATACTTCAGGCATGTTGGTAGGAGGGGCTATTCCTTGGGGAGGGACATGATGCTCAGAAAGACAGAGGGTCAGTGAAGGAGAGGAAAACCCTCAACCAGGTGGGCTGATGCAGTGACTGCCACAATGGGTTCTAATGTGTCAGGTAGTGTGAGGATGGCACAGGATAGGACAGGGTTCAGACCTGTTGCTTATAGCGTCTCTACAGGTCGTACTTGTCTCGACGGCACCTAACAAAAATGAACAAGACGCTGGATGGATCTTCTGGTGGCTACCATCACCTCTTCCTAACTGACAGGAAAATGGTTAAGAATGTCGAGCTTGACTGTCTAAGAGAAGTAAAC